TATCTTTCTGCTTCCACCCTCAACTCCAGGACCACTGCTGTCCTGACAGACTGCCTGTCGGACATCAAGTCCTGGATGAGGGCAAATTTCCTACAGTTGAATGTGAACAAGACTGAGGCCCTCCTGATTGGCTCACGCCAGCGCCTCAGCACCTCAGGCTCTGGCAGCATCAACCTCCATGGCTGCACACTACAACTCACCAAGTCAGTCAGGAACCTCGGTGTCTTGTTTGACCCTCAACAGTCTTTTCTTACCCACATCCAAGCCATGACCCACTCTGCCTTCCCTCACCTCCGTAACATCGCCCGACTCCGCCACTACCTCACCCCTCAGGCCACTGAAACTCTTGTTCATGCCTTCATCACTTCCAGGCTCGACTATGCAAATGTCCTGCTTGTCGGCCTTCCCAACTCCTCCCTCCACAGGCTGCAGTTAATCCAAAACTCTGCAGCCCATGTCCTCTCCCGCACCAAACTCCGTGACCCCATCTCCCCCCATTCTCGCCCGACTCCATTGGCTCCCTATCCTTCAGAATATCCAGTTCAAGATCCTGGTCCTCACCTACAAAGCCCTCCAAGGCCTCGCTCCACCCAACCTTTGTGACCTCCTAATCCCCTACCAACTCTCCCGCACCCTCCACTCAGCCGGCTCTGGCCTGCTCCACGTCCCCCAACCCACCCGCCCCACTATTGGTGGGAGAGCCTTCAGCCACTATGCCCCCAACCTCTGGAATTCCATCCCCCAATCACTCTGCCTCACCCCCTCCTTAGCCTCCTTCAATTCCCACCTCAAAACCCTCCTCTTCAACCATGCCATCGGTCACCCCCCCTTCCCCTCCCTTTTCCCCCCCTGACCCCAGCTCGGGTCTGAAATGCTGTACACTGTCCAGTGCCTTGGGATGTCCTCCCGACGTGAAAGGTGCTATACAACTGTAATCGTGTTGTTGCTGTTGTTGTTCAGACACACTAGAGAATACAACAGATTTGAGAGAAAATGTCTAGAATTCTTAAGTGTCACTTTTCACCTGGTCAGGTGAAAAAACTCTGCAGCTCGTGTACTCTCACACACCAGGCTCCGCGACCCCATCACTCCCACCCTCACCCGACTCCACTGGCTCCCCATCCCCCAGAGGATCGAGTTTAAGATCCTCGTTCTCACCTTTAAGGCCATCCATGGCCTTGCCCCCTTCTACCTCTCTGATCTGCTGACTCCCTACCAACCTGCCGCTCCCTCCATTCAGCGGGCTCCAGTCTGCTCCATGTTTCCTGCCCAACCCGCCCTACCATCAGTGGCCGGGCTTTCAGCCTCTCTGCCCCCACTCTCTGGAACTCCATCCCACAGTCGCTTCACCTCGCTTCCTCCCTTGCCTCCTTCAAGGCTGGTCTCAAACCCCTTCTCTTTGATCGTGCCTTTGGTCAACCTCCCACTTCTCTGCCTCCACTCACCCAGACACCACCCCTCCCCCATGCTCAGGCTCCAACACCTGACTGTTCAGCACTTTGGGACATCCTCCCAACGTGAAAGGCGCTCTATAAATCTAATTTTGTTGTTGGTGAAACTAAATTGCATGAAACTGAAAGATCAGATTTGATTGCCATACAGTGCTTATATAGCTGATGTGAATCATCTTTCGTGGCAGTGGGTGTTGTAACTGGTGCCAATAATTCTGGGCTGGAATGGAGAGGGAGAAATGAAACCAAAACAGCCAAGGATTCTGTTCCTCGTGACTTTGTAATGATTGCTTTAGAAAGAGTGTTTTGAGTGCGAGGATTGACATTTGCTGAGGTTAGGATCAGACTTGGCTGCGATTCCTCCCCCCACCACAGTCGAATAACCTGCTGAAGCTCACTGTCTTGGCTCATACATGAAGAATGCCCACTTGGGATCAGGTAATGGAGGACACTTGATGCCCGTAGAACTGTACCCCAGCATGAGTCAGCGCCTTCAGAGAGGAGGAAGAAATTTGGAGGGAGAAGAAACGTGCATGAAACTCCTAGTCTGGTTTGAATACTCTTAAACATGACACATGAGATTCTGCATGTCTCAGAAAGCCGGGTGACCAAACAAATTGGTCCATCTATATTAATGATTTGAAAATGACAGGGGGAGGCAATTCCTACTTTTGCTCATCTTAGCATATTAGGAAATATGATGAAGAATATAGGAAACTGCTGGTCATAGATCACATAGCAGAGTGGTTTAGTTTGGAGAAAAGTGAAGTTGGATGTTTTGGGAAAATAAATGCACACTGGGTTTCTTTTGCCAGGTGTCTCGACACATGTGAAAACACATCATCGTGTGGAGTCCTGTAGCTCAGTGGTTAGAGCACTCGCTTTGCAAGCGAGAGACCCGAGTTCAATTCCAGTCAGGGCGAAACCTTGGGCAAGTTTCCTTACTCCACACAGAGCCTAATAATAATCCCTCCAAAAACCCAAAACAATAATAAATTGGTCATTTTCAATCTACGACTGTTTGTGGGACATTGCTGTGCGCAATTGACTGCCGCGTTCGCCCACAAATATACAGTCAATTCACTTTACAGTGTATTCTGTGAAGCGCTTTCGGACGTCCTCCCGACGTGAAAAGCGCTATATCAAATGCAAGGATTATTATTATTATTATCATACTTAAGAGTATCCAAACCAAACCATACATGGATTTTCCAGAGATAGTTTGTTGGAATGGAATGCACACTCTCTCCCTGGAGGGTTGCATCCTGTGTACCTAATTTCAGAAATTCTTAGGCGCAGGTTGGCAAGAGTCATGGCTTGGAGACCTCAGAGTGTGTGTTGGGGTACTGCTGGAGTCTAACCAGCTAAAAAGCATAGCTTGCCATTGCGAGTGCTTGTCCAGCTACAACCACCCATTAGGATTTTGCTCCCAGTGACTGGTCCGCCCTTCCAACTCCACCAATGAGTCAGCCTGACTGTGCTGTCCTCAGCAGTGCACTGGAATACTGCGGACCCACCAAGCTCAGGAACTGGACGAGGGGGACTGCGACACAGAGTGACTCAATTATGTCACCCTAGTTGGTAAGGTTGTTAATGACATTATATTTCCCATGGCACTGCTCAAAAAATCCCAGCAATGCAGTGCTCCCTCCTTCAGTCTCAACCCCCCTCCCTCAGACGATTTGAGTTCAAAGACCCAACATCGGGCTTGAGCCCACAACCTTCAGATACAGAGGTGAGAGTTACCAACTGAGCCGGGCTGGCACTTATGTAAATGTTATGTAGATTACGTAAATTATTTATTTGTATAAATTATAAATTATGTAAATTATGTAAATTACAGCTTAATTTCAGCACCTTGGGACGTCCTCCCGACGTGAAAGGCGCTATACAAATGTAATCTTGTTGTTGTTAATTGTTAGAGCCAGAAAGCAGAAACACACAAGCTGAGTACAGGTGGAAGCACATCTGCTCAGAGAGAGAGAGAAAGGCGAGAGAGAGAGAGAGAATGTGAATCTTGGACTGTGATATTCTAAAAGTACTTTCAGGAAGTTGGTAAACTCTTAAGTGTATAATTTATTTATATTTATTTATATTTATTTAATTTCTGTTCGAGTCTGTTTTTTATTTCATATCTTTACTCTCTGGACTGTACAGTAGTTGTTTTTTAAAGTAATATATTAGTTAAAGAATACAATTGGAAAACATTATTGTCTGAAAGGTTATTAATATTTTTGCCTCATAAGGAAGAGATTGCGTGGTGTACCTGGATTTCTATTGTCTGATCCGGGCAATCTCAATTTAACATTTGTACCTACGAGAATTCAGCATGTTGTATGGGCTTGAGGGAGGCTATTGAGGAAGTAGCTGGAAATAGTAATTCCCTTAAACGCTCCGAGACATTAACCAACATGAAGAGTGCTATATGAGTGCATTTTGCTAAATGCAACCGGCTGCTGAGGGCAATTTGATAAGCTAAAACCAGGCAGTACAAAAAATTGTGATAATATCCATCCCAATCATGTCAAAGGTTTTGCCACCAGCAAATGGTTACAATTTTCTTTTGGTGCTCTCATGACGAGGTACCCAACTCACACTGTGGGATCCCCCAGCCTTGGCTCTTGCCAACCTGCGCCTAATACTCTCCGCAATTATGTGAGCAGGATGCTTCCCTCTGTGAAGAGCGAGCGTTCCCTTCCGGGCGCAAGGTTATTCCCATGGATTGGTGGGATGCAACGGAACTCTCATTCTGGTTTGGAAAATGTTACGCGCGGCGATGGGTTGGCGTGAGGCAGACAGAACGCCACCCCCTCCGCCACAAAAGTGGTGAGGCTCTTGGCGTCGACCATTGGAGCTGGAGCCGGAGCCCGTTGTTGCCAGATTTGGGCAAGTTCGCGGGTCTCTGTTGCGCTGCGCGCGTGAAAAATAATAACAACAATCCTTGCATTTGATCGGGAGCCTTATCACCGAGCCTTCAGCTCCCCTCTCGACTCTCTACCCCCTCCTCCCTCCCTCCCTCCCCTCCCCTCCCCTGACCATTTCCCCCCCAATGCTCGGGTCCCGACCCAACTGTCCAGCGCCTCGGGACGTCCTCCCGACGTGAAAGGCGCTCTGTAAATGGAATCTTGTTGTTGTTGTTGTTGTTGTACGAGACGTCTCGAAGCGCTTCACAGAACACACCCCCGAAAGTGAATTCCGACCGCGTATTTGTGGGCGAAAACTTTATTATTTTTTTCGACTGCCTTCAATTTTAAACTTAAATCCGCGAAACGTTCCTCCGCTCCTCTGAAGACCTTCGCTTCCACACCCGTCGAAAACACCAATCTGCATTGCAACCTGAAATCAAAATATTGGGCTGTTTTTTGGGGGGGCTATCGCTTGGTGGACTTTGGGCTACAAAGGCGATTTTTAGTTCAACTGCGTGAGGTGCTGCCCTGACCCGCTGAGCGGTCTCTGCTTTTATTGACGCTCGGTTGCGAGAACCGACCGACGCGACCGACGCGGCGTTTGTCCCTCTGCGGCCGCCGTGGGTCGCGCGCCCCCGCTGCATTGTGGGAGCGCGGTGGGTGGCGCGCTCCGGGCCAAGATGGCGGACGCGTTCGGCGAGGACCTGTTCAGTGTGTTCGAGGAGGAATCGGCGAAAAAAGGGAAAGGAGAAGCAGGAGGAGGAGGAGGCGGCGGCGGGAAACACGGGTGAGGGGAAGGACGAGCCGCGGGTGCCTGGGCCAGGCCCGGGTCCCCCCCCGATCGCGGAGCGGCCTGTGAGCTTGTGCCGCGCCGCCGCCTGACTCTGCTCTCAGGCGCGGGGCTCAGAGGACGGGCTGTCCCCGGGGGCCCCTTTTTTTTTACCGCCTGTGATTGTTTCGAGGCTTCCAAGGCCGAGGCTTCCCCCCCCCCCGGAGGCTGGACAGAGCGTTCACGTGGCCGCCGTTTGCCTCTGTGAGCTGCGCCGCGCGGGCTTCTGGCTGCGATGGTCCTTTTATCGCGTCTTCTCGGCGGCGTCTCAGAGCGCCTCGCGGGGTATACCGCGAAGCGAAGTGACTGCTGCGCGGTTTGTGGGCGAAACGCGGCAGCCGATTGCACACACGGCGGTGTCCCGCAAACAGTCGTGGGTTGAGTGACCGTATTATTATGGTGGAGGTACACGCGAGCGGGTAACACGTGCACCGGTACACACACACACAGACATAGTCAGACACACACACACACAGACAAACATAGTCAGACACACACAGACAGTCAGACACACACACACACATAGTCAGACACACACACACACACACACATAGTCAGACACACACACACACATAGTCAGACACACACACACACAAACATAGTCAGACACACACACACACACAAACATAGTCAGACACACACACAGACATAGTCAGACACACACACACACAGTCAGACACACACACACACACACACAAACATAGTCAGACACACACACAATCAGACACACACACACACAAACATAGTCAGACACACACACACACACACACAGTCAGACACACACACACACACACACACACACAGTCAGACACACACACACACACAGTCAGACACACACACACAGTCAGACACACACACACACACACACACAGTCAGACACACACAGAGTCAGACACACACACACATAGTCAGATACACAGTCAGACACACACACACACAGTCAGACACACACACACACAGTCAGACACACACACACACAGTCAGACACACACACACAGTCAGACACACACACAGTCAGACACACAGTCAGACACACACACACATAGTCAGACACACACACAGTCAGACACACACACACAGTCAGACACACACACACAGTCAGACACACACACACACAGTCAGACACACACAAACGTAGTCAGACACACACACACATAGTCAGACACACACACACAAACATAGTCAGACACACACACACAGACAAGTAAACATGAATCTGCTTCCATAAGTATCCCCGAAAATAATGTGACTACAGGTGATAATGCTGACTGTAGAAAACAGTTGACTTACAAACTGATTTGTCACTGATAGTTAACCAATAACGCAACAATCTGAGTGGACTCCTGTTTGTGGAAATACTAACGGATATCATAATCTGATGAAATGCTTAAAATATTTTATTTCAGCCTGAGATTCTTGACCGGGTCAAAAGGTTGTAAGTTCAAGAGCAATATCAATCCCCCAGAGGATCGAATTCAAGATCCTCATCCTCACCTACAAGGCCATTCACGGCCTCGCTCCCTCCTACCTCTCTGACCTACTATCCCCCTACCTACCTGCCCATACCCTCCGTTCCTCTGGCTCCGGTCTGCTCCACATCCCCCGCCCTAACATCGGTGGCCGGGCCTTCAGCCTCTCAGCCCCCAGGCTCTGGAACTCTATCCTCCAGTGCCTTTGCCGCCTCCTCCCTTTCCTCCTTCAAGGCCGGTCTCAAGACCTTTCTCTTTGACCGTGCCTTCAGCTCCTCTCTCTACTCTACCCCCTCCTCACTCCCTCCCTTCCCTCCCCTCACCCTGACCATTTCCCCCTGCTCGGGTCCTGACCAAACTGCGCAGCGCCTTGGGACGTCCTCCCAACGTGAAAGGCGCTCAATAAATGGAATCTTGTTGTTTTTAAGGTCATGGTCTACCTGAAACGCCAGTGCTGTGTGTGTGCTGCGTTGCCCGCGCTGCCAGCCTTCAAGAGGCCAGTCTGCCTGTTCTCAGATGGATGTTAAAACATCCCTGTGGTGGAGTATCTGTGGCACATTGGTTAGAGCACTCGCCTCGCAAGCGAGAGGACCTGGGTTCAACTCCCGGTAGGGCGAAACGTTGGGCAAGTATCCGTACTCCACACACCTCTGTTTACCCAGCAGTAAGTAGGAATCCGATTGGCCGATCACTTTCTGGGGTAATAATCCTTTAAAAAAATATAAATAATTTGATCATTCAATACACGACGACTGTGTGCAACTGGCTGCCACATTTCGGCCACAAAATACAGTCAATCCACTTATAGGATGTTGTGTGAAGTGCTTTGAGACGTCTCAACGACATGGTAAGGTGGTATAATAATAATAATCCTTGCATTTGATATAGCACTTTTCACGCCTTCTCAACGTCTCAAAGCGCTTCACAGAGTAGATTCTAAAGTGAATTGACCGTATATTTGTGGGTGAAACACGGCAGTCAATTGCATACAATAGTGTCCCACAAACAGTCGTGGATTGAAAATGACCAATTTATTATTGNTTTTTTTATTATTAGGTGTGTGGAGTAAGGAAACTTGCCCAAGGTTTCGTCCTGCCTGGAATTGAACCCAGGTGTCTCGCTTGCAAAGCGAGTGCTCTAACCACTGAGCTACAGGACTCCAAAATGTCCTGTGTATCAAAATGCAAGGATTTTTATTATTATCTCATGACACTGTTGGAAAAAGGGAATGGAGATCTAGAGTCCTGGCCAAAAATGAACAACAATATCCATTTTTATATACAGCATCTTTTACTTAGGGAGATCATCTCAAAATAAACTGGGAATCTGACGTGGAAGAAGGCTGGAGCAGTTTGTAGATGGGATGTTGACAAAACGCATAGTAAAACCCTAGCTCAGGTCCGAAACACTGATTGTCCAGCACCTTGGGATGTCCTCCCAACGTGAAAGGCGCTAAACAAATGTATTTTTGTTTGTTTGTAAAAGAGGGAAGTCTTTAGATTGTCTTTGAAAGTGGAGAAGGAGGGAGTAAGGTAGATGGATTTCATAAGAAAGTTACAGAAGGTGTTACAGTGACCTGATGAGCCAGAAGTTGGCCATTCTTTAGCAAGTAGGAAGCCAGTTGGCTCTCTGTGCACATGCAGAGTGAATGTAAAGTGATGACTGATGATTGAGCCCTGTTATAAAATGAGTTGGATTTTATGATCCCAACTATTGAGTTATAACAGGGTTGTACTGTTTTAATTTAGACAATCTAATACTGTAAAACCCAACAAACAGCAACAGTTTTGCTGTCTGAGTTTACAATTTGTAATCTGAAAACTCAAGGTATTTGCACTTGACCCAATTCTCTCGTCAATTTTTGGATTTCTTTTTGATGCATGATAATGAAAACTCATTCAACAATTGTCAGATATTGATTTCATTTGTAGCTGTGCCAAGGGAAGCGGGAAAGTATATAACTTCATAACAATTTGTGTTTGAAACAAATCAAGATTTGTTTTGAAAATGGTCCTAATTTGCTTTGTGGTGCTTTGTAGAAAGACCAACGATGGATTGGCTCGAGGAGCAAATGCCGTCTCCTCTGCCAAGAACAAACGTGACCTGGAGGCTGATGGTTCAGAAGATGTCTTGTTTGGGAAAAAGCCCAAACTTGAGGTCATCTCCATGGAAGAAATTAAGTAATTATAACGTTTTTTATACTTTAATCATTTTTCATAACCACTATATATAATAGCATTTGCTGTTTCATTGAACATGTAATATCCAAGTTTGCATTTATTTAGATCACAAAATTAATATTGGAAGATTAATTACTTTAAAATTAAAAATATAGCAATGACTATTCTCACTAGGCCACTGTAAACCTATTGTAAACATTTTGATAGAGTAACCAATTATATGACTTGATAGTCAGAGGGTATTATTGGGATTCAGCGCCTTGGGACGTCCTCCCGACGTGAAAGCCACCATAAAAATGTATTCGTAGTTAAAGGCTTGGGCTACCTTGAATATTGATAGCAAATTCGTATTCAAGGTTGTCAAGTTAGTTTTGTCATTATCCTTGACATAAGGCTTGAATTGATTCAACTGTGACTCTCTTCATATTATGGTGTTTCATTACAATATATCGGTTAAAGTATAGCTAAATATTGCTGATTAATATTTAGTCTTGCAGACTTGATGCCAAAGGTGAAAGTGGAGCTAATTGAAACTGTAGAGGGCTGTAACCATGAGGTAAGATTTTTTTTTCTAATGATTAAAAGCTTTTGCTTGATTGTATTTTTCATGTTTATTCTACAATGTATGTAAATGTTGCAGGGTTATGGATTGCCATGTGGTCACCTTTACGATAATAACATAATTTTCACAAGCCTAAGAGTTTCCTCTCAGTGTTCTGTCATTACATCGAGGCTCGACTATGCAAATTCATTGCTTGTCGGCCTCTCCAACTCCTCCCTCCACAGGCCGCAGATCATTCAGAACTCTGCAGCCCGTGTGCTCTCCCGCACCAGGCTCCGTGACCCTATCACCCCCATCCTTGCCCAACTCCACTGGCTTCCCATCATACAGAGGATACAGTTCAAGATCCTGATCCTCACCTTCAAAACCCTCCACAGTCTTGCTCCCCCCTACCTCTGCGACCTCCTAACCCCCTACGATCCTGCTCACCCCCTCCGCTCAGCGGGCTCCAGCCTGCTTCATGTCCCCCGCGTCTCTCGCCCCACTATTGGCAGGCAGGCCTTCCGCCACTCTGCCCTCACCCTCTGGAACTCCATCCTGCAGTTCCTCCGCCTTGCCCCTCCCTCACCACCTTCACGACCCATCTCAAGACCCTCCTCTTCGACCGGGTTTTCAATCTCCCTGCTTTCCCCCTGCCCTTCACTCTCCCCGACCCCCAGCTCGGATCCATTATTCTGTCTGTCCAGCACCTTGGGTTGTCCTCCCGACGTGAAAGGTGCTATACAAATGTAATTTTGTTGTTGTTGTTCTTTGACAAGTGACTAATTGTGATTGACGTCTTCCTCTAAATTTTCAGGTGGTGCTTCCAAAGGGTGATGAATATCGACAGCTAAAACCTCGCATAGGAAAAGCAGCAAAGGTATAGTCCTCTTAAAAGTCTACTTTTGTTTGGCGTATTTAAATGTTATGCTATACTGGAAAGAAATATAGTAATCTTCACATGAGTCACTTCAGTTGGGACCATACATTTATAATAATCCTTGCATTTGATACAGCACCTTCTCATGTCTTCGAAACACCTCAAAGGGCTTAATATGGATTTATGCAAAGCATAAGTTATGTCAAACTTGCGTAGAATATAAACTTTGAACTGGACTTGGGCAGATTTACAACTTAGGCGATTATCCGATTTATACAGATCATACTTATGTGAGTTTTACTGTATGATGGGTTGTAGTATTGTTTGTGAATGGGATACCGTTCCTCTGCGACCGTGCTTTCGGTCACCCTCCCAACCCTACCTTCCCTGCCCTCCACCCCTCCTGATCCCATCCACCAGCTTGGGTGCGGATCCCTGACTGTTCAGCACTTTAGGACATCCTCCTGACATGAAAGGTGCTATACAAATGTAAGTTGTTGTTATTTCAGTAACTTGCCCATTGCTGCACTGCTGCTAAATTTCCTGTTGTGTGGTACCTCAGCATTCAGGTCTGGGTTAGTTTCTGGCTTGCAACAACCCTGTTTACCTTAGACCTTTAGCCTATGTATTAACTAGTTGTATAACGTGTTTATACTTGGTTTGTTCTGTCACACCTGCTCATTATTTTCATGAACTGTTAAAGATGGGAGTTTCTTTCAAAAATGTATATGCTGTGATGGAACCACCATCTTTTGTAATTTAATAAACATGTTGGCTTAGCTACTTAAACACTATCTTTGATTAGATCTTTCTCATGCTATGTGTGCAGATCTCTCCTATTCAAAAGCAATAAGGAAAATTAATCCTTCATTATTCATTTTGCGTATTTGGTGAACTACAAATACTTAAATGCCTTTAAATATTAACTACAATCTCAGTAAGTCAAATAACTTTATTGAATTGTAATCTAGTTTGAAATTTTCTCTCATCAAGCTCAAGTCTATTAGGAAGAAACTATTAAGTGAATTAGACTGTGGGTAGAGGTTTAGTATTTTCTTCACAGCTGGAACAGGGACTGAAAAATGCAAACCTCTAGTGGCTATTTTGCTGAAGACAAGAAATGTATGATACATTATAGAGTTTCTGATGGTGGTTTGCTTTTATATGGACAGCTAAACAGTTGAGATTACCTCAGTAGTTAAGATTAAAAAGGATACTGCACAGAATTGTTAAGTAAAAAGTTGCTGGTCTAACTATAGCAAATATGTTACGTCAAACAAAATTTATGTACATATGGTTACAGTTTTTCATTGAAGATGTTCAATAAAACTACTTGATGACTTACATGATGTCCAGCATGGATGTGAATATTAATATCCAATTAAATGTTAATATTAAGCGGCTACAAATTGCATTTCTATGTCAAATGTAGTGCTCAAATGCACTGAAAGCTTCAAATGTATATTTTAAATTGTGGCTAAGCAGCAGCAATCTAGTTTCTATTGCTTTTGTGACTTCTCTAAACCTGATTAGATTGGGCAAAAACAGGCTGAGGAAAGTTAATGTGGAAAAATAACCTTAGCTTATTGAGACAATACCTAATTTTCTATGCTTCTGATCCATATATATTTTTGATTACAGGAATACCCTTTTATTCTTGATGCTTTTCAAAGAGAGGCTATTTCATGTATGGATAACAACCAGTCTGTGCTTGTATCAGCGCACACATCAGCTGGCAAAACTGTTTGTGCCGAGTAAGTACTCATTAGTTGTGAGGTAAACTGATGATATGTCAATGTTCTCTAAATGGATTTTGTTGATTGGGGGGGAATGGAGAATAACTAATTAAAGAAAGCACCACATTTCATTAAAGAAAGCATTTACAAGCAGTAATTTTAAACCAATTCTTCTGAGCAATTTGTTCTTGCTCTCTAGGTATGCAATAGCACTAGCTTTACGCGACAAGCAACGAGTTATCTTCACCAGTCCCATCAAAGCTTTGAGTAATCAGAAGTACCGTGAGATGTATGAAGAGTTTCAGGATGTGGGACTGATGACTGGTGATGTCACTATCAATCCAACTGCGTCCTGTCTGGTCATGACAACTGAGGTAATGTTCACCCACGCATTCAATTCTTACTTTTCTGAGTCTCCACAGTGCAAAGCTGAAACCAACAGTAATATCTACAAATCTCATTCTATTCAAACATGAATGTTTGAAGTAAAATATGTACATTTATCTAATAAAAGTAACGTATAATTCTTTCTTGAATAGCTTGAAAATGTTCTCTTAAATGTCTAGTTAACTTTCTGCCAATGTCCATTTCGAGAATGTTACGAGGCCTTCACTTCAAAGTGAATAACGTATTCCCAGATCTTCAAGTCAAACATTACAATGAGTCTGTTAATCTTCTAAAGAGGTGATGATTTGTGAGCCATATCTCTGCTTTTCACTTGCAGATTTTGAGAAGTATGCTGTACAGAGGATCAGAGGTTATGAGGGAAGTAGCCTGGGTTGTCTTTGATGAAATCCATTACATGAGAGATGCTGGTGAGTGATCAATTGCCTACAAATCATGACTAGTTATATAATTTACAGAGACTTTGGCACATGTGTTAGTATTCCCAGTACTGTAAGAGTCTGGTAGGATGTTAATTGCATCGCTTTAATTTTTCTACCTCATATTTGAGGTAGTGTAACATAAAAACATGATATTTAAGATGCTATGATATATCATCCTACAATGTTGAGAAGGTCAGGCACTTTTCTGGAGGGAAGGTTGGAAAACATTGCTCAGTTCTATACTTTGTGTAGTTTCCAGTATCTTAATTGAGGGACACTGAAAGAGAGTAAAATAATAACCTGGGAGCAAAACAAACAAAAAATACTATTGTGAAAGGGAAACAATTACTTAATAACTTTAAATTGTTGGGAGTTAATGAAAATTAATGTTTTTTGGAATTGTGATTGTTGGGTGGTTGTTCCTCTTACCTCATTGTTAGAAGATTTTGGACTTAAAAGAAGGAAATGTTTTTGATGGTAATTTAAAGTAACAATTCCAACTGTTTATTTTCAGAGCGAGGTGTTGTGTGGGAGGAAACAATCATCCTTCTTCCAGACAATGTTCACTATGTATTCCTTTCCGCAACTATTCCCAATGCACGTCAGTTTGCTGAGTGGATCTGTCACCTCCATAAGCAGGTAATTGACTATAATTTGAATCCCATAAAACAGAATATTCTGAGCAAATAGAGATTGTTATTTAAGTACATTGGAGGAATTGATGTTGACTTGTTTCTATCAGTGTTTATTTGGAGTATACATTTTCTTCATGTCTCTTGGAGTTTTATCAACAGCTACTATTGCTAATTATTGCTCATTATCGTTGCTTTCCTGAACTCTGAAAGTTCCACTAAAAGTAACCCATTGTTGGTATTTTTCTGGTGTTGAGCAAAATTCAGTTCTAGGCTTGCTAGCATAAGCTTTTTAATGTTCCACAAGTGCTCAAAGACATTACCCTGCGTGAGGGGTGCTATATGAATGCAAATTGTTTATGGTGGATATATTCTCGCTTTATGGAGCAACAGATATTTTTGGCTTCATATCCCTTTCCTATTCTGATATTTTCATCCACTTTATCATAGTATGGATGAATGTATCCATGTTCTGCTTATTAGGTGTAAGTAACTAGTTATTTTCTCTCCTTTTTCTTTTCTAGTTTTTATACTTTGCCAAAGTCTGGTAATATAGTAGTAATAAAGCACTGTTGTGGACTTTTGGAAACAGTACAATGCAAATTTACATTTATATATTGCCTTTCCTGTTGGCAGAACATCCCAAGGGATGTCAAATCTGGCTACTATGACATTGGGCTGGTGTACCAATTTAAGAATAGAAGCTAAAAATTAAGAATTCAATCCAGGTCATTGAATCTCCCTGACAATATATCATTAATTATTGGCTGTCTTTTAAGTACCTATCATACAGTGTGACTGGAAGTGCCCTATTTCATAGTATGAGCTCCTTTGCTAGGTTTAGTGTTCTATTCTCAAAACGAAAATACTGCAGATGCTGGAAATCTGAAACAAAAACAGAAGTCATTGGGAACACTCAGCAGGTCAGGCAGCATCTATGGAAAAAGGAAAGTGAGAGCGTTTTGGGTCCACACCTTCGACACTGTCGACTGCTCCATCCTCATACACCGCCTCTCCTCTTTACTTAATTTTTGCAAACCTGCCCTTGTCTGGATCGAATCCTATCTCTCGCTGTCTCCACTTTGTTGCCTCTAACGGTTTCTCCTCCAGCCCCCGCATGGTCACATCTGGCGTCCCCCAGGGCTCTGTCCTTGGCCCTCTCCTCTTTAATATCTACATGCTCCCCATTGGTGACATCATCCGCAGACATGGGGTCAACTTCCATGTGTATGCGGATGACACCCATTCTCACCCGACTCCATTGGCTCCCTATCCTTCAGAGGATCCAGTTCAAGATCCTGGTCCTCACATACAAAGCCCTCCATGGCTTCGCCCCACCCTACATCTGTGACCGCCTAACCCCCTACCAACCCGCCCGCTCCCTCCGCTGGCTCTGGCCTCCACGACCCCCGACCCACCCGCCCCACTATTGGTGGGAGAGCCTTCAGCCACTCTGCCCCCAACCTCTGGAATTCCATCCCCCAATCACTCTACCTCGCCCCCTCCTTAGCCTCCTTCAAATCCTGCCTCAAAACCCTCTGGTACACTGGGACAATTGGCTGCTGTGTTTTGCCCACAAATTATACAGTCAATTAATTTTACAGTATAATCTGTGAAGTGTTTGGAGTCTTCTCAAAGTCGTGATAAGGCACTATATCAAATGCAAGGATTATGTTATATGCCAATAATGTGAGATTTTTGTTTCTGTAGTGTTAATTTCAGTAATTTCTCAAACAATCTTTTTTCATTGCTATAGAAAAGTTTAATTTTTAAAATGTACTTTTTGTGTTTTCCTCTAATTAGCAATCCTTTCTGTTTCTTCATCAGCAGTATATTTACCAACCTGTGATGATCCATCTATGATGATCAGAGTTTTTTTGTGAACAGACACAAAGTGAATGTCTAATTTTATTGGGGGCCAGGACACCAGGGAAAAACTCCCTTTTCTTTTAGAATAGTGCCATGGCATCTTTAACAACAGCCAGATGGGATAGGCAAGATTTCTACAAATTGACATGAGCCAGATTGACACAAACAAATAGGGTGAAATACAGCCATAATTTAAAAATGTATATCAAACTATGCACTGAACGTATTTCAGCTGAATTTAGGAGTTATACCCTTGATAGATTCTAACACAGCATTTGTCACACTAGGTGGCAGCTTACTCCATAAAGTGAGGACTGCTCAGGGTTTAGCTCATGTTTGGTTGAACACTATGCTCTAACACTAAATTAGAGAAATGCTTGGAAGATTTCAGGAATACTAACGAGCAGTTTAATTAACAAATGACATTGCAGACGTAAATGTAATTAGACCACTATAATTTAAATCCCTGAACTAATCAAGTAACCCACTTAAGTAATTTTTGCTTCATCTTAATCTCCATCTACAGCAGGAGATTACATCTACATTATAATTTGCATGAAAAAATACTGGGCAATTAAAGTTCTTTGCTGCTCAAGATTGCCCAAATCATGTATAATGTGCCAACTTTGCACTGGAACGTTCATTGTTGAATGCTTCACATACGTAGTTCCTGACTGCTAGCAAATGGAGCAGTCATCAGTTGTCACCAAGATTATGTGACTTATTCTTGGTGCTGATAAGTATCAGTTATCTACAATGCACATATATGTGAAGGTTGATCCAAACCTTCCGATTGTCACTGAGTCACACGTGCCAGGACCCTCCATTTCTTGACTACTAGTATTGCATTATTTACAAGTAATGAAACAATTTCTTTCTTAATCAAATGTGTGATTTACAAACCGGGTACTGTATTAAGTTTTAGACTTGTGGCTGGAGCCCCAATATTTCGCTTTCTTATGATGTTGGTTCACTCATCATGCTGACTGATTCCTTACTGTTGCCGTTTTGGCATTGGGAATCTGGCTGGCCTAGTGTGCTCATAACAGTGATACAGGTCATGTTATTGATGTCGCAATGTGGAAACTCTGATTGGGATTTGTGCCCTATTATAAGCCTGGTTAGGATTTTATGTACCCCAACTACGGGGGGTGGGCTTCTTATTTTATGTGGAGTCCTGTAGTTCAGTGGTTATAGGACTCGCCTGGCAAGTGAGAGCACTTGGGTTTGATTCCCAGCAGGGAGAAACTTTGGGCAAGTTTCCTTACTCCACACACCTCTGTTTACCTAGCAGTAAGTAGGAACCCAGTTGTTACTCGATTGGCGGATGGCTTTTCTGGGGGGTAATAACTCCTTCAAAAAAAAATGGTCACTTAATCCACGACTGTTTGTGAGACACTGCTGTATGCAATTGGCTGCTGCATTTAGCCCACAAAACATACAGTCAATTCACTTTACAGCATATTCTGTTAAGCGCTTTGAGACGTCTAGAAGATGTGATAAGGAGCTATATCAAATGCAAAGATTTTTATATAAGGTTACAGTTAGAACCATAACAATTTTCCATTTTGTTACATGTAGCCCTGTCATGTGATATATACAGACTACAGACCCACACCTCTGCAACACTATATCTTTCCAGCAGGAGGTGATGGACTGCACCTAGTTGTTGATGAAAATGTAAGTAAAGGTGATTTTTATAATGTGTTATAAGAAGTTAATGTAACTTTACATGCGGCATTTACAAGATCTAGAATTGGGGGGAGGAATATTGTGCATGAGGGGTATTGCTCATGACCTTGAACAGTGTAGTTTTCTTTATAAACACTGAAAATATTTATAGGAGTTCATGATATTGCATAATTTTCCATTGTGTTGCATCAGTAAATCAAATGTCAGCTACTCCTTACTTTTTGCAAAAGGTTTATCTTTGCTAACATTTGATCTATTGTATGTCCAATCACTTTTTTAAAACAAATATTTTAAAGTGGTAGGGAACATTTTTATAGTGCTGTTAAATGTGATACTTTGTTTTTAAAAAAAACAGTTCCAACATCTGTCTTGAGAACTGCATATTGTTATCAGAGTTAATAAAGAGAAATGCTGTTTTGTAGGAACTTTGTTGCCATGTCTTCAGCAGTGAAGTGCTAAACATTTCAACAACGGGTGATTATTTCAAGATGGTATTATGAAAATGAAGAAGGAAGCTGTCAGCTAAGAGCTGCTCTTAAGTGCTATTATAAGTAAAAGCTTGGATCATAAGATAAAATGTAGCTGGACTAGCTGTACCTTTACTTAATTGCAAGGAGCAAAATTGGTGGCAGTGACTATTTCCTTGGATCAGCAATGCATTTGTGTATTTGTTTGCACAGTTTAACATTGCAGCTGGAACAGGGAAATGGGTCAGCTTACACAACTGTGCACTGAAGAGCCAGCAGATGTTTGTTGTCAGTAATATGTTGTCTCATAAAGAAGTTTGTGCCACATTTAATTTTTATTTTTCCGGTGACGTGTATTTAGCCAAGTTGTTTATGTAAGTTTTTTTAAGAAAAAGACGACAGTGAAAGAATGATCTAAATTTATCAGTTCTAATCAACAAACTAGGTTTTGCCCCTATTGTGTTTACATACCCCAAAGATTGTTCTCTTCCTCTGTCGATTGCCATTTACATTTCATTTGAAGTTCAGAAGTGTAGAAATGTAGAATGACCTTGTATTTGACTCCAACATAAACAGATTGATGGCATTTTATTTGATCTGCTAAGAAAACATTCATTAAAATTTAGAATTTAAGGTAGGGATTGGAAAACCATAGTGAATTCTTGCAAATATGTAAAGAATGACATTCTTACACTAAAACTATTTACCTTTTCTTTGGGAAGAATGGATTTAACAAGATGTTTTTGTTTAAAAGGGAGATTTTAGAGAAGATAACTTTAACACAGCCATGCAGGTCCTGAGAGATGCAGGTGATCAAGCAAAAGGTGATCAGAGGGGTCGAAAAGGAGGAACAAGAGGTACAGAAAATAAATTTAATTTGGGATGTGTTTGTGGTAAGGGTTGTGACTGCTGGTGAAGGTAGAACCTGTTGAAATGCCAGCTAAAATTTAAGAAACTGTGCCACTAAAATTTAAGGTTTGTGTCAACTTCAATCACTGGCTGTTTGTGGGACACTGCTGTGAGCAATTGGCTGCCGCAATTCGCTAACAAGTATACAGTCAATTCACTATACAGTTTATTCGGTGAGGCACTTTGAGACGTCTAGAAGGCGTGAAAAGTGCTATATCAAATGCAAGGATTATTATTATTATATCCCTGGGCAAAATAGGAAGCAGTTAACTTGTCCCCAGGCATATATACTGCTATTCTATAACTGTTCATTAGAAAATGCATGCAAGTGTCCCAGTGCGACTTTCCCTCTGTTCCTTCTCTCTGGGGAGTATTTGAGTGATTAGTACCTCAGCAAACCTGAATTCCTGCAAGCTTGTGTTTAATTTGCACCTTTATTCTTCTTTCAACAATGTTTAATCGTCTGTAAAGTCTAAGCACTCTGAGACGCTATCCTGCATGGAGGGCGCTTCATAAGTGCAAGTTGTTGACGTTCAACTGAAGAAAGTTAGCTCTCATCCAGGACTTGATGTCTAAAGACATTCTGTCAGGACACCAGTGGCCCTGGAGTCAAGGGTGGAGGCAGAGAGGTAGAGTTGGGTGTCATCCGCATATCTGTGGATGATGTCACCAAGAGGGAGCATATAGATATTGAAGAGGAGGGGACCACGGACAGAGCCCTGAGAAACGCCGCACGAGATGGTGGGGGGGCTAGAGGAGAATCCATTTGTGGAGATGAAGTGGAGATAGTGTGAGAGGTAGGATTGGAACCATTCAAGGACAGAGCCATGATGGTTGAGGTATGAGGAGAGGCGGGGGAGGAGCATAGAGTGGTCAATGGTATCGAAGGCAGCAGAGAGGTCAAGGAGGCAGAGGAAACCCTGGTCGCAGATGGACAAAATGTCATTTATCTCTTTGACCAGGGTTGTTTCTGTACTGTGGGCGGCACGGAAACCCGATTTGAGGGGTTCGTGAAGGGAGTCGCAGGAGAGGAAATAGCGAAGCTGGGAAGCAACAACTCGTTCCAGTCTTTTGGAAAGGGAGATTGGAGATGGGGCAGTACTTTGAGAGCAGGGATGGGTCCAGGGAGGAATTTTAAGGATAGAGTGATTACGGACGTTTTTTAAGTGGGAGTGGTGCCAGTGGACAGGGAGAGGTTTATGATGTCTGTGAGAAGAGGGGCAAGGAGGTGCAGCTGGGAGGTAAGGGGAGGGGTAGGGATGTGGTTAAGGGAGCAGGTGGTCAGGTGCATGCAGGTTATAGTGGTGGTGAGAGAGGAGTGAGAGACCAGTTCGAAGGTGCGGAGCGAGGGATGGGTAGGGCCTGGGGTGTTGAGGGAGAGATGGGGAGGCGCTCAGAGGTATCTGAGCAGATCCCCTTGATTTTGGTTTCGAGGAAGTCTAGCATCGCCTCGCGGTTGGCGTTGGAGGGGAGGATGGGCCAAGCGTGAGAGGGTGGGTGGAGTAATCGGTTGGTGATGGAAAAGAGGAGCCTGGGGTTGTCCTTGGCCTCCAAGATTGTCCTGGAATAGAAGGACGATTTAGCAGAGGCTAGGGCAGAGCAGTAAGATTTGATAAGGTCCAGCCAGATCTGCCGATGGATTTGAGCCAGGTGCGTTCAGCGATATGCACCTGTGTCTTAAGGGAGCGGAGGTGGCTGGAATACCAGGGTGATTGTCATGTTACATTATTTCCTCCTCCCCGAATCATTAATGGGAGTTTAATTTGTGGAAATATGTGTTTTCACCTTTCTAAAATATTAAACCTCATTTTATGTTTTAGAAATTTAACAAATATATATTTCTTACCAAGAAATCTGTTAATAAAGAAAACTAAACCCATTATTTGTAATCAAACTCATCTATTTTTTTCTAACTCATTCTTTACCAAGGTGACCAAAAGTGTAGTCAAGGAAGTAAGTCTTAAGGTGGGTTTTGAAAGTGGGAAAAGAGGGGCTGAGTCTGAGGGTCTCTTGAGTTCCAGAGATGGGGGCAGAATGGCTGACAGCTTACCCGACGATGATGGGGCAGATATGTTGCTGATTATATTAACGATTTGCACAAATGTTACAACTTTTTAAATATTATGTTCATAGGACCATCGAATGTATTCAAGATTGTGAAGATGATAATGGAAAGGAACTTTCAGCCTGTTATCATTTTCAGCTTCAGCAAGAAAGATTGTGAAGCTTACGCTCTACAGATGTCCAAGCTCGATTTCAATACAGGTACCAGTGCTTTGGAAAATGAAATGTGCTTTAATGTTCCTCTTGGCTTCTCAGATTTCTTCATCTTTAATAATCCTGCTTTTGTTTGTCTTTAGATTCGAGCAACTTCCTCCTGCCTCACTTATATCTTGTTTCTGTGTTCCAATTAACCTTTTCAATACATTTGACACTTCTGCTCTGTTGATGTTCAGTATTTCTGTTCCCCTGTCCTATCTACATACCCTTATGAATATTTCAGTTCTATTTCATATTATGATAATCAAATTTGTGTTGCCTGTTCGATGGAATCAGTAAGGAAACAATCATTTGAATCAGTACTGTATTGTTTGAAATCTTGTCTCCCCGGTTTAGGTGCTACGGCTCTGTTTTGAAGAGTAGAGAGATCGCCAGGTGTCATGGTCCTGGTTTTCCCTCATCTAAATTCACAAAATTGTCTTGTTTTGTGGCTTTGCTGGTGCACAGCAATTGTGAGTTTTGCTTACTAATAGCTACTACTACACTTCAAAGCAATTCATTGTGTGAAGCTCTTTGATGTGATAAGCCACTACATTAACTGCAAGTATTATTATTATAACCTCCTGAACCATGCGTGCATTTTCCTCCGTGGTTTTAGCAGTCTATGGCTTAGAATACTAAGTAGTGAAGAATTAGGATGTTCAATTTGATTACAGCCTGAATTGAGGATTTAACATGGGAAGGGAAAAAGTGGAGGTTGGGTTTTTAGAATATACCATAAGTGGGCATTGTGTATAACAGGATTCAAAAGGGGATGGGGTAAAAACAGGAAGGCATTAAAGTAGATAGCTACAATAGGGGAACAAATCTATCACTAGCACAGACCCCTCAAGTCACTTTCTGTACTGTGAACATTCTATAATTGTATGCAATATCCAAGTCGGAGTGATATAAGGAACTAATTTTAGAGAGCTCTGGATTTATAGGATGACAGAATGTTTTCTATCTGTTCAGTAATAATAATAATAGCCAGTGTTCCCCTCTGATGGAAAAAATAATCACGCAAAATGTCCACCTTAGGAGCTGCTATCTTTGTTAGCCATCAGGGCAGACTACCGCTCGTCACTGCAGCTAAGTCTTGCCTGATGACTGTCTCATACAGTTTATTAGGCTGCAGTTCAATTTGATGACAATGTTTAGACTAAGTGCTAAAAAAAATTGATTAGAGCAAGTACCTAAGCAAGTCAGAGTGACTGCAGGATAGAGTCCAGAGTGTGGGGGGAGAATGGCTGAAAGCTTCCCCACCAATGGTGGAGTGATTGGGTGGGGGAAATGAAGCAGGCCACCATTTGTTGAGTGAAGGAGATCAGATTTTTTTTTAGGAAGAAGTAAGTAAATGGATAAGTATATGGCACATCAGTAAATGGATATTTTTATTCGGTAAAATATACTAATTGGGCCATTTGATCATTTGGTTCATGAAGGTTGGAAACCTTGTCAGCGGGGATGGGGATGTGATAGAAATTGTGTGATTAATTGTCCTGAAACATTCCTGGTAGTTTTGGATCCTTACTTGTGGGAAAAAAACGCAATTCAAAGATTGAAGGATGTCAATCCCTGAGTTGTAATTTATCTTTATATGCAGAAAATGGAGCATGGTGTGCTCATGACTCGATCATTTTTAAGTGAACTGTGCCTTGTGCTTTACAAGAGCAGTCCAGGCATTCGGGGTAATGGAAATTGTTTTCTGTGATGGCTGTACACTTACAGCCTTTCCATGTATTTACTGAGACTTTCTTCTCCAGGATTAGTCATTGTCATAATTGCCAGTATTTAATTGTTTGGGTAATGAACGGTAATGTTATCTTTATTGTGAGCACAATATAATGTAGGCTAGCCTAATCTCCCTTTGCTCCTTTAGACCTCTGTGTTAAAATGCTGCCAAGTCAGTCAGACTGTGCAGCATATTTTTAATGCCAAAATATAAATTTCTGTCAGTGGTAGCAATAAGTTCATTTCTAACATTTGCATCTATCTTCACAAAAGAAGAGGATACAGGCAATGCTACAGTATCGGAGCAGAGAGTTGAGAAATTGAATAAGATAAGAAAAGTCCGAGAGGAGGTACTAAAAAGGCTGTCGGTGCTCAAGGTAGATAAGTCACCCGGTCCAGACAGGATTCATCCTAGGTTACTGAGGGAAGTAAGGGTGGAAATAACGGAGACTCTGGCCACAATCTTTCAATCCTCCTTGGACACCGGGGTGGTGTCAGAGGACCGGATGGTTGCAAATGTTGCTCCCCTGTACAAAAAGGGGCAGAAGGGTAAACCCAGGAACTACAGGTCAGTCAGCCTAAAGTCAGTAGTGGGGAAACTTCTGGAGACTATAATCCGGGACAAAATAAATTTTCACTTTGAAAAATATGGGTCAATTAAAGGACAACCAACACAGATTTGTTAAAGGCAGATCATGTCTAACAAACCTGATAAGAGTTTTTTGATGAAGTAACGGAGAGGGTGGATGAAGTTAGTGCAGTTGATGTAGTTTATATGGAGTTTCAAAAGGCATTTGATAAAATGCCACATAAGAGACTTGTAAGCAAAATAGAATCCCATGGTATTAAACAGTCAGTGGCACCATGGATACAGAACTGGTTGGGAGACAGAAAGCAAAGAGTGGTGGTGAACGGTTGTTTTTCTGACTGGAGGGAAGTGTGCAGTGGTGTCCCCCAGGGGTCGGTATTGGAACCACTGCTGTTTTTGATCTATATAACTGACCTGGACTTGGGTATAGGGAGTACAGTTTCCCAGTTTGCAGATGATGCTAAGCTAGGGAAAGTAGTAAACAGTGAGGAGGATAGTAGCAAACTGCAAATGGACATAGACAGACTGGTAAAATGGGCCGACACGTGGCAGATGAAGTTTAATGTGGAGAAATGCGAAGTGATGCATTTTGGGAGGAAGAATGAAGAGAGGCGATATAAGATGATGGTACAATCTTAAAGGGGGTGAAGGAACAGAGAGACCTGAGGGTTCAAATAAGTAAATCTTTGAAGGTGGCAGGACAGGTAGATAAAGCTGTTAAAAAAGTATATGGGATACTGGGCTTTATAAATAGGGGCATAGAATACAAAAGTCAAGAAGTTATGATAAACCTTTATAAACACTGGTTAGGCCTCAGCTAAAGTACTGTGTTCAGTTCTGGGCACCAGACTTTAGGAAGGATGTCAAGGCTTTGGAGAGGGTGCAAAGGAGATTTACCAGGATGTTCCAGGAATGAGGGACTTCAGTTATCAGGAGAGGCGAGAGAAGCGAGGATTATTCTCCTTGGAGCAGAGAAGATTAAGAGGAGACTAATAGAAGTTTTCAAAGTTATGAGGGGATTTAACAGGGTGAACAAGGAGAAACTATTTCCGCTGGTGGGTGGGTTGTTAACTTGAGGACACTGATTTAAAATAGTTGTTAAAAGAAACAGAGGGGAGGTGAGGAGAAATTTTTTCACACAACGAATTGTTCGGATCTGGAATTCATTGCCTGAAAGGGTGGTGGAAACCAATTCGATAACAACTTTTAAGAGAGAAGTAGATAATTATTTGGGAAGGACAAGTTCACGAGGCTATAGGGAGAGAGCGGAGGTGTGGGATTGAATTGTATAGCTCTTTTCAAAGAGCTAGCACAGACTCGATGGGCCAAATGACCTCCTTCTGTGCTGTATAATTCTATGATTCTATGGTTTCTTCTTCAGTGCCTCTTTCAAAAACATTAAAGTATCATTCCAGATGCCAAATAAATTAAATAACTTAAATATTGTAACTTGGATTTAGCAACTTTTAGTTTCCTGAATCTGGCAGATTCCGACTGGTTTCTTGGTTTCTACTGGGAGTTTGGGACATTGTTGAAATCATAATTCTGTTCAGTCAGTAAGATAGCTGGGACTTGAAGCTATGTCTTACTTTTTGGAGAAGTATTGAGGTTATCCATCCCGCAGTCCCAACGTCTCGCCCCCTCCCTCGCCACCTTCAAGACCCACCTCAAGACCCTCCTCTTTGACCATGCTTTCGATCTCCCTGCTTCCCCTCCGCCCTCCACCCTACCTCACCCAGACCCTCAGCTTGGGTCCATAACGCTGTCCATCCAGCGCCTTGGGACGCCCTCCCAACATGAAAAGCGCTATACAAATGTCATTTTGTTGTTGTCGTTGTTATGAAACCATCTTCTGACTAAACTGTGTCTGCTTTCCTGGAGTTCTGTGAATTTCTGAAGCTATTATATTTTGAGGGAGAGAAGAGAGAAGGCTTAGATAACAATAAATATAATCCTTGCATGTGCTTTATCACATCTTTGAGACGTCTCAAAGCACTTCACAGAATATACTGTGAAGTGAATTGACTGTATATTTGTGGGCGAACTGTGGCACCCAATTGCGCACAGCAGTGTCCCCCAAACAGTCGTGGATTGAGTGACCAAATTATTATTAGTATTATTATTTTGAATGGATTACTACCCCCAGAAGAGCGATCTGCCAATTGACTAACAACCAGGTTCCTATTTACTGTTAACAACAACAAAATTACATTTGTATAGGGCCTTTCACGTCGGGAGGACGTCCCAAGGCCCTGGACAATCAGTGTTTTGGACCCGAGCTTGGGATCGGGTATGGTGGAGGGCGGGGGGGGGTGTTGAGGGTCAGTGAGGTGGACTGTGCATCCTTGGATGGTGATGCTGTCACAGCGCCTGAGGTTTTAACAGCTTGAATTGAATAAATAAACTGAGTTGCAGTGTTTGAATTTTCCTCTAATCTTAAAATGTTGAAACTATATGTTTAATGTTAAGTCCTGCATAAACCTCTTTTAAATTATATTGTATTATAAAAAGAATCACCCAAAGATTTGGAGCACATGATACTGCAATTTAGAGTTCTTATTGTTTCTAGGAACAATAAAAATCTCTATCCAAGTAGCCTCCCGGCAGTACATAGTACACCAGTTGGTGGTCGGATGTTTGTTCATGTTGCTGTGCTTTGCATACAAAGTTCCCACTATTGCCCAGAAAGTTGTGAGTTGTCATTGAGCAGAGTCAAGATATTAATAGGAAAGTGTGTAAAGCGAAGTGAGCCTAGTTACTGAAAAGCTAAGGTAGAACTGTGGAAGCAGGTACATTTTCACAAGAAATAGATTTCAAAAGCCTAAAGATGCCCTACAAAATGCATTCATTGTGATACCATCTTGTGCAAAATGAAGATAGTATTTCTACAGTTGGGACTTTGCTACAGTTTTGCCAAGAGCATCTGCAGTTGATTTGAAGGCTGAAATACGGCATAATTAAACACATAAATGTTTCTTCAAGAATGGAAGGAACTAGTTTCACTTGTTTTTCATATTAAACCTGGCCTGCAGATTGTCCTTGTTAATTGTCATTCAATCTATTTATCCTTCTTAAAGATAGCGCCAGGGTGAGAGTTTTTTTGTTGTTTGATTTATATGAAGGAAGAAGACATAGTGCAGGACATTGTAACGGTTAAAAACTGTTGGAACAAAATGTGATATAATCCAGAAGTAATAATTAAATAATGACAAAGTATTATTTTTATTTGATGTACTAATGTATCATGTACAAATAACTTTTAAATTGTGGTCTTTCCACCACACTGAAGGCATTTGTCCGTCTGGATTGGTGTCAAGCTACGCCACTGTTAAGCTATCTACCAGGATGAAGGGTGCTATTTAAGGGTGCTATATAAATGCAAGTTGTCGTTGGAGAATGGCTGATGAGAAAATTCTTAGTTTTGGGATGACAGCTGCTGGAAAGCGATACCCGGAGCCTCGGTTTGTAAACACACTTGTATTCGGGATTTGATATCCATCTTGATTAGTGTGCTGCTGCTCTTGCTCCTCACCTCCCAACCCTCATTGGGAAGTGTGTTCAAGCTTTGGGCAGGATGATAGTAGCTGAGCTGTGCTACTCACCAGGAAGCTCACAGTACCTGCTCTCTCCCTAGTCGATATGGTGAAAAAGGAGTGACTTTCCACTGGCAGGTGGGTCGGTAACCCGATGGCAACGATTTAAAATAGTTGCTAAAAGAAACAGAGGGGAGGTGAGGAATTTTTTCACACAGTGAGTTGTTTGAATCTGGAATGCATTGCCTGAAAGGATGGTGGAAGCCGATTTGATAACGACTTTTAAGAGACAAGTAGATAATTATTTGGCGAGGACAAGTTTACAAGGCTTTGGGGAGAGAGCGGGGGAGTGGGATTGAATTGGATAACTCTTTTCAAAGAGCCGGCACAGACATGATCGGGCGACTGGCCTCCTTCTGTGCTGTATGATTCTATGATGGTAGACGAGTCAGCCTGCCTTATTTGCAAGACTTGCTGGGAGCAGGGACTTCTCACTCGACCCAGTAAGCCAAAGCCCTAATTGCAGAGAAGCTAGCCAGACGTGTTCTCAATGGCAAGCTAGGTGGTGTTAGTTAGTTAGACTACAACTATATTAGTTGGTCCCCAATCCTCGGCTCTTACCAACCTGTACTTATTGCTCTTCTGTATTAGGTAATCAGAGCCCTTCCCTCTAGGGAGAGATCTTATTCTAATCCAGGAAGATGGTGATGGGTTTCTGCATGTGTCAGATACCCGACTGACCAAAAAAAAGGCAGGGTAATTTCCATGTTTAAGTGGCAGGCATATCATAGAATCGTACAGCACAAAAAGAGGCTATTCGGCCCATCGAGTTTGTGCCGGCTCTTTGATTAGAGCAATTAATGTCAATCCCACTCCCCAGTCCTTTCCCCATAACCCTGCAAACCCGTACTCCTCAAATACCCGTCCATCGCGTTTGCAAAAGTAGTTATCGAATCAGCCTCGACCACCCTTTCAGGCAATGCATTCCAGATTCGAACAACTTGCTGCGTGAAAAAAATTCTTCTCACTGATTTCTATCTCTCTGATTTAGATGCTCTTAAGCATGCATCTATACTATGTTTCAACCACCGCTTCAGTTTCTACATGTGTCGGACACCCGACTAAGCACAAAAAAAGGTAAAGTGCTCCCACTTTAAGGGATTTTTAAGGCTGTAATGCTTAGGTTATATTTGTAGTTATATAGTTTTAGGAAAGGTCACTTATGACATTAATTGTTTTACAAGGTAATTTATATCTGGCACAGCATTTTGGAACAAAAAATATAAAATTTCACGGTTTTCTTAACCACCACAAAATTAAATACATCATTAAATTTGCATTCAAAATCATCATGACCTGGTATCAATGACAAATTGGAAAAAAATTACTCTAGAAAATTAGTGTTTAATGATTATGACTTTTTCTATTGCTAACCGTATAAATTTCCTCTGTGGATTATTAAGACATCTTTAGACTTTTAAGAGAACAATGAAACAGAATAATTGTGCTGTTTTATCCATGTCATGTTTGGAACTTGCTGTCCGAAGTGTGGTTGAAACAGATGATAAAGAATCAAGGCATTTAAGAAGAAGCTAGATATATGCATGAAGGAGAAGGGAGTAGAAAGATGTGGGTAGAGACTTGTGGAGTATAGACATCAGCATGGACTGGTTGAGCTGAAAAGCCTGTTTCCATGTTTATTCTATTTAAATCTATGTATATTCTTCCAAAAAATCTTTCCCGTACAATCCCTTTATAATTTGACATCAACAGCAACAACAATATTATAGCACCCTTCACATTGGGAGGATGTCCCAAGGCGCTGCCCAATCCAGGCTTTTCACCTGGGTGGGGGGGGGGGGGGCTGAGGGGGAAAATGTGACCAAAGATGTGGTCAAAGAGGAAGGACTTGTAGGGAGGGTCATGGGAAGTCCAGAATGGACTTCCAGAGAGTGAAGGCAGATAACAACAACAACTTACATTTATATAGTGCCTTGGAATGTCTGGAGGATGTCCCAAGGTGCTGGACAGTCAGGGATTTGGACCTGGGCTGTGGGTTTGGATCAGGAGGGGTTGAGGGCTGGGAGGGTAGGGGTTGGAGGGTGACTGAAGGTGCGGTCGAAGAGGAGGGTCTTGAGATAGGCTAAAAGCTAGACCACCAATAGTGGGGCTGGTATGGCAGGGGATGTGAAGCAGTCTGGTCCCCACTGAGTGGAGGCGATACCGGCGTTAGTCGGATTTGAGGAGGTTGCAAGACCATGGAAGGATTGAAAGGTTAGGACTAGCATCTTGAACTGGATTTCTTTGGGGGTTGGGGAGTCAGTGGAGCTCATGGAGCTTATCGTGAGAAAGGACGAGAACTGCCGAGTTCTGAGTAGTCCAGTCTGCAACTTGTGTCCTTTCCCAGACTAAGGTCTGTGAGCCTATAACACCCATCTTCCCTACCTCCACTTGTAAAGAGAAGAGTTTGGGTAGTCCAGCAAGCAAACGGTTGGTGTAATCAAGCCTCGACATGATCAATGTTTGGATAGTAGTTGTGGAAGCAGACAATGTTTCAGGGTGGGAGAAAGCTGAGTCACAACACATATGTGAGGTTTAAAGGACAGCTGGGAGTCGAACATGTCACTGAGTTCTTTAAAATGCTTTGACAATATGAGTGTATCAGTGCAAAGATTTTTACTGTAATTTTTTTTTGTGGGACAGCCAAGTGTCTGACAAACACAGCAATCCATCAAATGCTTCAGAATATCCAAATTAAACTACTGAGAAATCACACACGCATGGAAATTTCTGTTTGCCCAGAATGGAATGTGTATTCTCTCCCCAGAGGGAGAGAACCCACTGTATTATTAGTCACTGGAAATATTAGGCACAGTTTGGCAAGTGTGTGAACGAGAGAAAAAGAGAGTTCAGATACTTACTGTTGGAGTTCAATCAGCTAAAGCACATATTGGCAAGCTTGCTTCTATTTATCCATTTTAAGCACCAGCTATCCAGTAGACTTTAGAAACATGTTTGCATTGCACAGAATCAGAGAAAGAGACCTCTGTGGCTTTAGAAGGAAACCTGTGTCTGTTGTTTTCCACAAAAGAAAAGTCCTGNTTTTTTGGTCAATGGTTTGACTATTTGTATGTCTGTCTGACTCAGTGGAAGCATTCTCACATCTGACACTGGGCTGATAACCCCAAATGCAATGCTTGGGGTATGGTGCATTGTTGGAGGTGCCATCCTTCGGATGAGATGTTAAACCAAAATCCTATCTGCCTTTTCAGGTGATTTTCATGGTTGTTTGTGGGACCCTGCTGTATGCACATTGGTTTGCCTACAAAATCACAGTCACTACACTTTACAGTACTGACTGCAAGCTGAAATAAACCTCTTGTCAGCCAATTTTAACAAAGCATTTGTACGATGCAGAGTTATAATGATCAGATTTTATTGTTCAGCATTCAACACATTTTCTCTCCCCTTCTCTCTCCCATCACAGATGATGAAAAAAAGCTGGTGGAGGAGGTATTCAATAATGCTATTGACTGCTTGTCCGATGAAGATAAAAAGCTTCCTCAGGTGAGTGTTCCTCCAATAAATCTAGTATTAAGTTGAAGCTTTGAGCCAAAGAAACCTGTGGTGCTCTGAATGCCTTTTTCATCTGGTGGAGCAGACTAGGTTACCAGTGTACATCAACCAGGCTGACTGGAGATCTCTTGATTTGTTATAGTAACTAGGTTGATGAGAATTAGTGTCACATTAAAACATACATCTTAATAGGATACTCGACAAATCATTGATTCCTGAGGAATCTTGGTATAGTCTTTGGTGTTGCAGTATAAATGTAGTGTCATATTTATAAGCCATGCCTCCATTTGATATAGTGCCTCTCACGTAGGGAGGACTCCTCAAAGTGTTTAACAGGATACAACAACAACAGATTGCATTTATATCACACCTTTCACGTTGGGAAGATGTCCCAAGAGGCTGAGCAGGTCTGTGGGTAGGATCAGAGAGGGGTGGCAGGGCAGGGGTTGGAGGAGGGAAGATGACCGAAAGCATGGTCAAAACGGAAGGTCTTGAAACATGCCTTGAAGGAGGCAAGTGAGGGGGCAAGTGGAGGGGCTCCAGGATGGAGTTCCAGAGGTTGAAGGCAGAAAGGCTGAAGGCCCGACTGCTGATAGTAGAATCGCAGCAAGGGACAATGAGTTAACACTAGAATCCCAGTGCCAGAGAGGGGCCTAGATTTTCATTCCTATGTGGTATTCAGCAACTCCACCTTCAGAGCAGCATCAAGTTTATCTGATATCTGTTACAATCAAATAATCTGCTAATTGCTCATTGTCAGTTGTATGAAGAATGGCTGATTTGGCTGCAGGACTGTGCCCTGTGCTCCAGTTAACAGTTTTTTGGGAGAATGTTGTATAAATTCAAGTCAATGGTCATTTAATACAGTTTTAATATTGTTGAACCTTATTTTCTTGTAACAGGTTGAGCATGTATTGCCCCTTTTAAAAAGAGGAGTTGGAATCCACCATGGAGGATTACTTCCTATTTTGAAGGAAACCATTGAGATTCTTTTCTCTGAAGGACTGCTGAAGGTATAGTTGATTTTTTTTTTTGGAACAATAATGTTCATGGAACTAGCAAGTTACTGCTTTGGGTTCATGCAGGGAAATACATTGGAATATCTTTGCAAATCTATTTTAAAAAAAGTCATGGATTTAATAGAGTATATAGAGTAGACATACAAAATTTAAATTGTGTTTTAGAATTAAAATTTTATCTGATTGAGTTTTACTTTAGCCTTGTCAACATCTAGTTAATCCTTACAATTGGTACATTTTTTGGTTTTAGAATTGCACATTGCAAATTAATGCAAAAACTTGATGAATTGAGGCCTGAAATAACTGTCACCCTGTTGGTTAGGTTTGAATGTAGTGCCCTCCTTACCTATCAATTAATGTCTTGATATATTTGTAGATTGCTATTACCTGTATTTCTGTTTTAAATCTCTATTCTTGATCTCTTATGCTGCTTTCAAAATAACAAGACAGCAGAATATCCTTTATACAACCTGTCAGAATCATTGTTTTTTGCTGAAAATTAAGAAATGGTAGATTCAAAACTTGTTTGTTTACTTGCATACTCATTTTAACTCTTTGATTGTTCTTTCCAGGCATTGTTTGCTACAGAGACCTTTGCTCTGGGTATCAATATGCCAGCAAGGACCGTTCTATTTACCAATACGCGGAAATTTGATGGGAAAGACTTCAGATGGGTACAGTCAATTTTATATAATTTGTCAGTTAAATTTTGCACGTTTAGTTTCTCTGACAAAATTCTAAAATTGTGGAACTGACCTGTGTGACATTGGAAACCACAGCTTATGTCACCCACCTAAAGATGAATGGGTTCCTTATTTGCCCGTAACTGAGAACCCTAGCTTGTGTGTAGTGTGTAGTGTGTGTTTAGGACAGAAAGTGATGCTTGAGTAAAGCAGATTTAACTCAAATTAACCTTTCAAATGAAATTATGAACATGGCAGCTGTTAGTTAGTTTTTCTGAAAGTAAAATTTATTTTTTATGGGTGTGCAATCCATACCCTAGAAGCAGCTATTTACATTATTTAGTCAATGGTATGCCTTTGGATGTAGAAGGAATTTGCTTTCAGGTTCCGCAATGTTCAATTAGAAGCTTTATTCATATTCTTTAAGTCTTGGTATGAAGTTGAGTTATTTGGAGTAGGTTATCCAGTACTTTTGTGATGCCTGTTTGCACCAATGAGGCCAGTTCACCTCTTTCGAGAGTCTCCATTCTCCGTGTTTATTTTGCTGAGGTGATTCCAGAGCTAGAACAGCTGGAAAAATAATGAGCCATGTGTGCACTTTGTCACTTTATTTCTGCTCCTATACTGCTGGATCCAAAAGTATGAGTGGGCATAAGAAAGTATGGAATGACAATAGGTGGTTTTGTCCAGTAATTTCTCTACAGTTCATACTGTGATCATGAATTTGACCCTATCCACTTTTTCTGGATCGCATTGCTTGCCATGTTCTCTCCTTCTACATTATTTTCCCCCATTGTGTTTGCTAATGGGAAGCGAATAGAGTGGTAAAGATGGCAGTTGCTGCTCCAGAAGGTAACATGAAAATCACCCATTTATAATCATCTGGGAGCCTCCAGATACAGTTGCGTTGTATTGAAATCACAAGCACGGTTAGTAGGAGTCGAGTGAGAACAATCCCTGTCCTCGGTGATTGGTCTGCCCACCAAGTCTCACTGGCGAGCCAGAGCAGCTGGTCTGCCAACAGCTGTGTACTTCGGTCCACCTGGTTCTCGCCCTCACCTATTCATGTCAGGAGATTTCTAAGCAGTTTTCTACCTGCCTTCTTAACAGGCATCAGCACTTACTGTTAAGTCACCAAGTTGGTTATTTGTGTTTTACCAGATTACTGCAGGAATATCACAGCTAAACCTGTCCATGTATACCCAATGTCGTCAAAGCACGCATCCCAGCGGCAATCACTGGATAGAGAGCAGGAGCCCACACAGCCTAATTCAGAGAAATTTTTAGCATCCCAACTGCTGACTTGGCTGAGACAACTAATTTAACAAGGCTGGATTGAAAGCAAGATTTAGACGCTTACGTTTAATTTTAAAATAAGCTTTGACTCTTTGCAAACTGATTGTATGTTTTCCACGTCTACTATAATACTCTGTAAGCAGCTGATTTACTTCAGCCTGTTGAGGAGTATATACAGAGACTATCACCATTGGTAAAACAGAGCTCCATTATTTAATGCAGTTTGGCTGGAACATCTGAGGCTGAATAATATATATATAAATGAACAAGTCTTCTTTCTCAAAGATATCAAATTATTTGCACACTAGGAGGGCTGAAACAGCTTCCAAGTCTTTAGTCCCATTTATTTTGGCAAGGCTATTAATCCACATGCTTCAGCTTTGCTTTATATTATTTTGGTTCCCAGTTTGTCCTTTTTCATTAAAGACCATAATTATCCTACACTACAAAGTTTGCATCACTAAATATAAATGAAGCCCACAAGAAGTAGATGACAATTACATTTTGATTTCTCAATAAAGTTAGATTTTATTAAAAATTCTGCAATTGGTAATATATCTTGAATATTCATGCAAGATTTACTTTATGGTGTCAGAATAATCACTTAATAGTTACACGTGCACTTACATTACATTAACTTTTCCCATCTTGGGTGCCTCCTCATCAGTGCTCTGGATGAACCGAATCATTGACTACTATACTATGTAAATCAATGTGACTTTTATGGGCTAGCCCTGTGAAATATGTGGCTCACGGTACAAATAGAGATAGTAAAATGGTGGGTTTCCAGGGCACAAAAAGATAACCCATTAAAGTATTGATAGATAAGAAATGCTTTTTAAAAAAAATTCTAAACATTGAATTCTAAACATTGTGTATTTTGTCAATGTTTTTGAAAAAAGCTGTATTAAATTACAAAATAGCAATTCTGTAAATTATAATGGATTATCTAAGGATGTCAGTCATTTGATTAAAAGATACACCTTATCCTCTTTGAAAGACTTGCCAAAATTTCACATTGATCAAGTACTATAAATCAGCTTACTAACATGAGGAACATGTTGCACATTCTACTCGGTCTTGGTGATAACATATCAGCCAGTCAGTGTGAGTACAACATCCAGTACCCTCTGACCATGCTCGAGGCTCTTGTGTGTTTCCAAATACATGAAATCTTGTCACATACTTCCTCTTCTAATGTGTCAAAAGATTGGGAAATTTTATTTTGTTGATCACGTGACAATATGTCTACCACTTATCAACCTGATTTATAGTGGTTATTAGTTCCTTATTAATTTTTTTAAAAACATCTATAAGCGCTACTACTAGTAGCCTTTCCCTTTCGTTTTGGGATAATTATTATTGAAGTGATGTGGAATGGACAGGATTTTGGGCAATTCTTTAGCATCAGCAGTGAGTTGAGTGTCCTGACTGAAACCTATATTAGAATAGTATACCAACCTCCTAGTTTGCAATTATGGAGTGTGTGTGAGAAAAGTATTCCCTGGACAAAAGGTGGAGTCCTGTAGGTCAGTGGTTAGAGCATTCGCCTCGCTTACCTGGGTTCGATTCCCGGCAGGGTGAAACCTTGGGAATGTTTCCTTGGCTGCCAAGTTTCGCCCACAAGTATACAGTCAATTCACTTTACAGTATATTCTGTGAAGCGCTTTGAGACGTCTAGAAGTCATGTAAAGTCCTGGAGTCCTGTAGCTCAGTGGTTAGAGCACTCGCTTTGCAAGTGAGAGACCTGAGTTCAATTCCAGGCAGGGCGAAACCTTGTGCAAGATTCCTTACTCCACACGCCTAATAATAATCCCTCCAAAATCCCCCCCCAAAAAAATTGGTAATTTTCAATCTACGACTGTTTATGGGACATTGCTGTGCGCAACTGGCTGCCGCGTTCGCCCACAAATATACAGTCAATTCACGTTGCAGTGTGTTCTGTGAAGCGCTTTGGGACGTCCTCCCGACGTGAAAAGCTCTATATCAAATGCAAGGATTATTATTATTATAAAGCGCTATATCAAGTGCAAGGATTATTATTATAAAATTAAATAACATCCCTACTTGCCTCACTCGAACTCTGATTTCCTCTCGAAAGTAATAGTTGTAAACATAACAAATCTGCTGCATAACGTTGGCAAATAACATGCTTGTGGATGTACAGTTGTACTTCAACTTTTGAAGGAAACTAGAACAAATTGTATATACAGTTGTATTGCTGGCATGACATCCTACCAGTGCAAGACTTACTGTTTAAGGGGTCGGAAATTGAACTATAGGTGGACTCAGTGTTTCCAGTGCCAGCTGATATAGCTCAACTGTTAGATTATTACAGTTGAACCTCATTTATCCGGCTTCCTGAATGTCTGCCATAGTTTTTTTTTGCTTCTCTCGCAGGCTATTTTTTGATCCTCTTGTTGTGTTGGTGGGCTCTCAATCTGTTGGTGGCCTCGACACTTGGCCCCCACTCCGCTGGGGGTGTGATCAGCCCTTACTCTGCAGCAAGGCTTGGCTCCCACTCCAATTGTAATCTTTAATAATGTGTGCTGCAAGAGCACACTCAATATCTGAAGAATCTTCATGAGCGTATTGGCTTGTTGTCAGACTAATCCAATTGCTTTCTATGTAACTGCACATCTGGATTTTTAGGGCAAACTGACCTTTTGGGGGGAAAATTGCACATTATTACAGGGGATAAAGTAGCATTGATCTCAGAATTTATCCATACATTTCTTTTTCCATAAAAAGTAATCCTATCAGTGCTGCAAAATATTGGCCATTCTGTGCCATGTATCCCCGTAAGTATCTTTATGTTCATTCAATACTGTATACTAACATCTGTTTATTTTAGTTGCAGGAATTAGGTCTTTCTGCACTTTAATTAAAAATGCTTTTTTAAAACAAAGTTATTGTGTTAACCAAACACAAAGCCATAACTATTTGGTTCAGCACCTCTGCCGTGATGCTTTTCTCCAGGGTAGCAATCTAATCTGCTACAACAACCATTTACATTTATCTAGCACATTTCACATCAAGTGCCTGAAAGTGCTTCACACAGCTGACTGTGTATCCAAGCTAAGGGAAGGTGACCAAAAGCCGAAACATGGTCAAAAACATAGCTCTTAATGAAGCTTTAAAAGTGGGAAGGGAGAGAGTGAGATGGAATTTCAACATCTTCTGACTCATACTCCCATATTCCCTAATAGTCTTTCTTTGGCAAGTATTGATTTGTACAGATTTGTTGTAGACAAGGCTAATGATACACCTCATCTCTCTTATTTAAGTACTCTTGAGAAGCTAAGTTGTATGAATGGTGCTATAGTTCTCTTGTAAAGGTGAATTACAAATTTGTGCACGTTGGCTATTGTTGCAGTTCAGCCAACTGTGTGGAGCAGTTTTTATTAGTGACACTGGAACATCTACTGCCACTTGAGTCATTCTGTTCAAACATCTTCAACATGAAATATTTTTTCGAATGCATTTGACAAATGTTTATGTAATTTTTTGTATTCCTCTCATAAATTACAGATTTCTTCAGGAGAATATATTCAGATGTCTGGCCGTGCTGGTAGGCGTGGCATGGATGAAAGGGGCATTGTTATTCTCATGGTAGATGAAAAGATAAGTCCAACTGTTGGAAAACAGCTTCTAAAGGTAATTAATCCAGCACCGTTTTTTTTAAATTTAAGTTTTCAAGATATTTACATTTCACATAATCTTTAGCCTACCACAGACAGGTGCTGCAGAATATTTTCTGTATCTTTGTGCATTTCTCCATCCATTTTATTTTCAGATTTTGTATTTCTCTTACCATTACTAGCAACCTTCTGATCTGTCCAGTCAACTTGCAGTGCTGCATCGTACTGGGTGGGGGGTGGGAGTAGGGTCTCCTTCTGGCTCAACTGTCTCCAAGGTAATGTGTCTGCCAGTGGAATATAAGAATTGAGTTGACCTTTTGCAGTTTTGGTAGTTCAGTTCCTGAGCCTGAGATGGGTGTGCAGTGTTCCAAGGCAATCTCAGACAGGCTTGTTGGCAGGACTTAGAGAGACAGACCAGTCACTGGGAGCAAGAATTCTTCTCACTCAGCTACCAATAACTCTCAAAGCCAAAGCCGAGACACTACCTATGACAAAGGCCCTATATAAATGCAACAAGCTGTTTTTCATTAAGCAGCAGGAAGCTTGCCAGCCAGCGTTCCGAATGACAAGTTACTCGGTTTTAGCTAATTGAACTCCAGTAGTACCCCCAATGTACATTCTGGTACTCAAGCCTTGCCAAACTTTCCAGGGTTAGGTAAGTCGGGTGAGTACCTCCAAGGAGAGTGTCCTCTCCATTCCAGGCTGAGATCTTTCCATGTATATATGTAACTGTCTGGTTTGGATACTCTCATGCATGACAATGGGTTTCTATGTGTCTCAGACACCTGGCTGACCCCCCCAAAAAAGATGATAGGTAACCAGTCGTTATGCACAAATAAATTGAAAACGATATGTAACTTTTCCCTGGAATCACTGATAGTTAAAGTGAATTGAAGATATCTGCACTGCCAACCTCCCCCGTGCTTGATTTCAAGATCCTCATCCTCACCTACAAGGCCATTCACGGCCTTGCTCCCTCCTACCTCTCCAACCTACTATCCCCCTACCTACCTGCCCGTACCCTCCGTTCCTCTGGCTCCGGTCTGCTCCACGTCCCCCGCCCCAACCGCCCTACCATCGGTGGTCGGGCCTTCAGCCTCTCAGCCCCCAGGCTCTGGAACTCCATCCCCCAGTGCCTTCGCCTTGCTTCTTCCCTTTCCTCCTTCAAGGCCGGTCTCAAAACCTTTCTCTTTGACCGTGCCTTCAGCTCCCCTCTCGACTCTCTTCCCCCTCCTCGCTCCCTCCCTTCCCTCCCCTCACCATGACCATTTCCCCCCTGCTCGGGTCATGACCCAACTGTGCAGCGCCTTGGGACGTCCTCCTGACGTGAAAGGCGCTTTATAAATGGAATCTTGTTGTTGTTGTTGTTGTTTGAGCCTTGTATGTGAACAAGCAGTTCATATGGCGCAGATAACGTGAGAACAAATGATTGTAGCTCCTAAATTAGAACAAAAGCGGCTGATGACACCCAACTCTTATCTCTCTGCCTCAACCCTCGACTCCAGGACCACTGCTTTCCTGACAGACTACCTGTCAGATACTGAGTCCTGGATGAGAGCCAACTTTCTCCAGTTGAATTTCGATAAGACCAAGGCCCTCCTGCTTCACCTCTGTCAGCGCCTCCTCACCTCAGGCGCTCACAGCGCTAATATTCATGGATGCGTTCTCTACCTCACTGAGCCAGTATGGAACCTTGGTCTTCAACCCCCAACTGTCCTTTAAATACCAAGTCCATGCCTTGATCTGTTCAGCCTTCCCCCACCTCCACACATTTCCCGCCTCCACAACATTGCCCGCCTCCACCACTACTTCTCCCCTCAGGCCCAAGACCCTTATCCATTCTTTCATCACATCCAGGCTTGACTATGCTAACTCCCTGCTCGCCGGACTTTGCAAGCCTTTCCTCCATGAGCAGATTATTCAGAATTTTGCAGTTCGTCTCCTTTCCCGCACCAGGCTCCGTGAGCCGATCACCCCATCCTCGCATGACTTCACCGACTCTCCGTCCCCCAGAAGATCGAGTTTAAGATCCCCATCCTCACTTCTAAAGCCCTCTACGGTCTTGCCCTTCCCTCTTTCCGTGCCTGCTAAACCCTTTACAAATCTGCTCCCTCCCTCCGGTTGACAGGCATTGGCCTGCTCCATGTCTCCCATCCAGCCCGCTCCACATCGGTGGTAGGTCCTTCAGCCATTCTGCCCCTATCCTTTGGAACTCTTATCCTGGAGTCCCTTCACCTTGCCCTCTCTCTTGCCTTCTTCAAGTCCCATCTCAAGACTTTCCTCTTTGACTGTGCTTTTGAATATCCTACCCTCAGAGCGGGTCAAACCCTTGACTGCCCAGCGCCTTGGTAAGTCCTCCTGACTCCTAAATAAATGTAACTTGTTGTCATTGTAGAAAGTGCAGAAGATATTTAGTAAATTAATGGTAAACATGTGAAACCAGGAACTATAGATAGTTTTAAAAATGACCTGAATAAGTTCTTCTTAATAATAATAATTCTTTTGCGTTGACTATTTCTGGGTTGCCAACAACAATAAATTTACATTTACTTAGCATCTTTCCAGTCGGGAGGACGTGCCAAGTACTTGGGAGTCCTGGCTTGACACCCAAGCTGGTGGGACTTGAAGGAGGAGAAAGAAGATCACCATCAGTGTTTCATAAAAGCATTAGTTTGTATATTGCAGCTTGAATACATGTGGTTACCCAGAGTTGGATCATCTCTAATCTGCCAATTCAAACTTTTTGCTACATTGCTTTGATAAGGCACCAAGTGTCTCCCACTGGTATGGAGGGAATGTTCTGCTGACTTTTGTTGTGCACCTCCAACCAGCCAGCTAGAGACCAGCGTTCCTGGAAGCAGGATGCCTTTCTGCCCTCTCAACCACACGGCAATGCAGCCAAATAAGGAAACTAATAGTGGAGGTCTTTGTCTGAGAAAATTGCTGCTCCCTGAAATCCTCTCCATCTAGCAATGGTGTGAGAATTTGGGAACCTTTTTTAATGAGGGCACAGTAAGACATTTAGATGCTCTTGACTGTTCTGCTTATGCTGCACAGCAATATGTATTCATCTTCCAAAACTTGATAGTTTCATAAATTGATTTGATGTAAAAGATATAGTATACATCAGGTTTGCACCAATTTTCAAAGAACGTTTAATACTAAAGCAGAAATTGTTTGGCGACCTTCAGGCCACCGTGAACCTTGTTAGTCTTCAGTAAAGATACCACTGTGTGTTTAGTCATTCAGTGCCAGAGAGGTTTGCCTTACCATGGCCAGTGTGATTTTTGGAATGGGAAATACAAATACTTCTTCTGTTTCAGATTACTTTGTTGCTGGAAGTAATAAATCGCTCCAGTATTATAAACTCAGCACAAAAAAAAATTGTGTTTATGTCTATCCACAAGCAATTTTGTGACTTGGTGGTTAAATTATTTTGGCAGCAAACAGGATTTGTGAAATATCGACTTGTAAAATATAATTTAAATTTATACAATTCTTGCAACACAGTGATGTTTCATCTGTCCCAGGCATCAATTGGACAATTCATTGTTAATTTTTTAACAATTGTTATTGATTTTATAATAATAATAATAATAATAATAATAATAATCCTTGCATTTGATATAGCGCTTTTCACGTCGGGAGGACGTCCCAGAGCGCTTCACAGAACACACTGTAAAGTGAATTGACTGTATATTTGTGGGCGAACGCGGCAGCCAATTGCGCACAGCAATGTCCCACAAACAGTCGTAGATTGAAAATGACCAATTTATTATTGTTTTTGTTTTTTTTGGAGGGATTATTATTAGGCGTGTGGAGTAAGGAAACTTGCCCAAGGTTTCGCCCTGCCTGGAATTGAACTCAGGTCTCTCGCTTGCAAAGCGAGTGCTCTAACAACTGAGCTACAGGACTCCACAAGTCCTGTTTATGGTTGTGCAGTGAACAAGAATCTCCTATATGCTGGACCAATATTGTATATTTAGCTTTAGCTTTTTCAAAATGTTTTACCTCACAGTTCAATGCTTGGTTTTGACTAGGTTTCATGTTCACTTTGTCTTGGTTTAAAAAAAATTGCAGACATGAAATGCTTCCTCCTTAGCATGCAGATAAATTCCAGTATTATTGAGATGAATTGCTCTGATGCAAGAAAAGTGAAGATAATTTTCTTTTAAAAAGAATAAAGTCTGATATTGAAGTAGAGAATGAAACATCACTTTACAAAGTCTTAACTCCTGAAAATAGGTGTGGTGTGCAAATAAGTCACCAGAATTCCACAGATACAAGTAGATTGTGTGAAATAGATTTTTCTAAATTTTTCCTATAAACACCGTTTATTAGATTGGATTTGGATGAACTTCATATGAGATTTGTACCATCTAGTATCTCCTTTTCCACATCTTGATAGAGAAGTCAAAGATCTTAGACAGACATATGATATATTCACCACCAACAACAGTATACATGAATATAGTACCATCACATTGGGAGAAAGTTTCAAAGGGCTTTAGACAGCTTTGACCAATTATAGATAATAATAATCCTTGCATTTGATATAGCGCCTTTCATGTCAGGAGGACGTCCCAAAGCGCTTCACAGAACACACTGTAAAGTGAATTGACTGTATATTTGTGGGCGAATGCGGCAGCCAATGCGCACAGCAATGTCCCACAAACAGTCGTAGATTGAAAATGAGCAAGTTATTATTGTTTTGGGTTTTGGAGGGATTATTATTAGACGTGTGGAGTAAGGAGACTTGCCCAAGGTTTCGCCCTGCCTGGAATTGAACTCCGGTCTCTCGCTTGCAAAACAAGTGCTCTAACCACTGAGCTACAGGACTCCACTCTTATTTTCATTAAATAAGAGGTTACTCACAAATTGATCAAATTGGATCTCCTGTGTGTCTCTTGTGGGTATAAACTGTAACTAGTAAAATATTTAGTAAAGCTAGCATTTATTGCAATGAGTTGGCACTGATGAGTAAGATGATGCAGCTTTAGGGTTATTGTAGATCAC